CGAGGACTGAGGTCCGGAGGAACAGGTACAAGGTGGCGGTGGATGCGGAAGAAGGTCGGAGGAGAAGGGAGGACAACATGGTGGAGATCCGGAAGAACAAGAGAGAGGAGAGCTTGCTCAAGAAGCGTCGCGAAGGCCTTCTTGCTCAGCAAAACCAGCAACAGCAACTTCTCTCCGCCACATCTGCGTCCGATAAGAAGGTATTCTATTCTTGTTTGATAATGATCTGTTTTATTGCTAGGTTCTTGGTTTATTTGGCTTTTGAAGTAGCCTGTTTGTCAATTTAATCGGTGGGATTCATGAGTGATGATTAGGGTTTATCATTACTAAATTCATATATATATTCTTCCCTTTTAGTTAATGGGCATTTTCTTGATTGGATATTGATTCTGGTAGCTTAGTATATTGATTTTAGCAATGGATAGCCTTATCTTATGAAACCAATTATGAATAATGTATTGCTGGAACAATTGCAGTTAGAAAGTCTTCCGGCTATGGTTGCGGGTGTTTGGTCCGATGATGGTAACGCACAGCTTGAGGCAACTACTCAATTCCGGAAGCTGCTGTCAATAGGTTGAGCGTCTGTTCTTATTACGTTCTACTTATTCTGCTCACAAGTACAGTGTTAACTTCTAACTTGGAGTCTGTATGCAGAACGCAGTCCGCCTATTAATGAAGTTGTACAATCTGGTGTTGTTCCTCGCTTTGTCGAGTTCCTTGCAAGGGATGATTTTCCACAGCTTCAGGTTTGACTCGTCACTAGTTAATTTGTTTCATCTTTGATGTGTTTGCATTATTTTGATTGATTCATCTTTCTGTCTGTTTTTTCCCTTTGTATTATTTTTGGGTATAATTTAGTTTGAGGCTGCCTGGGCCCTTACAAATATTGCATCGGGGACATCTGAAAACACTAGGGTTGTCATTGATCATGGAGCTGTCCCCATTTTTGTTAAACTTCTAGGTTCTCCAACTGATGATGTGCGTGAACAGGTAAGATTGCAATCTGTTAGTGGCCTACTGCTTGTCTTTATGCCTCGATATTATTATTGTATTGGTGAATTAATCATTCCTTTTTTTTTCAATTGTAGGCCGTGTGGGCACTAGGAAATGTTGCTGGAGACTCTCCTAAATGTCGTGATCTAGTACTTAGCCATGGGGCCTTGCAACCGTTGCTGGCACAATTCAATGAGCATGCCAAGCTCTCATTGTTGAGAAATGCAACCTGGACTTTGTCAAACTTCTGCAGGGGCAAGCCACAGCCTGCATTTGAGCTGGTTAGTTTTTTTGGGATAACCAAATAGAACTGGTAGAATTCTTTTTACGTTTTTTTCTACGTCAGTTGCTGATATATAGTGCTTCTGAAATTTGATGAGCAGACAAAGCCAGCTCTACCAACCCTTGAGCGTCTCATTCATTCAAATGATGAAGAAGTCCTTACAGATGCATGCTGGGCGCTCTCATATCTGTCAGATGGTACTAATGAAAAAATTCAAGCTGTCATCGAAGCAGGTGTTTGTCCTCGACTTGTAGAGCTCTTGCTGTGAGTATTTAATTTCATTTTTAACCAACCAGTTTATGGTCTGATGTTGTTTCCCCCTATTCTTTTAAATAATCACTAACATTTTCTTTTTGCATTCTGAATGCCATCGATCTCTCTCTTCTCATATTGATTAGTCATCCATCCCCAACAGTGCTGATTCCTGCTCTTCGCACGGTTGGTAATATTGTCACTGGGGATGATATGCAGACTCAGGTATTCTATTCCCTGTTATGTTCAACTTATTCTTGTGATCATTCTTGGCTAATATTTCAAGGTTTCCCCACTTTCAGTGTATAATAAACCATCAAGCTCTTCCATTCCTTTTGCATCTGCTGATAAGTAATTTTAAGAAGAGCATCAAGAAGGAAGCTTGTTGGACTATCTCGAATATCACTGCTGGAAATGTAGATCAGATACAGGTGAGCAATGTATCTAAATACAAGAAAACATATTTATGGTTAATTTCTATGTCAATTGGTACACCATAATGTTTGATTATTTGTTGCTGAAGAGTTGGGAGATTTTTGTAATCACTTGTAATCATGTCATTTAGTTCTTGGAAAATATGTTAATTTTGACATGTATTCTGAAAATTCGCAGGCTGTAATTGAGTCTGGTATCATTGACCCCCTTGTCAATCTACTTCAAAATGCTGAGTTTGAGATCAAGAAAGAGGCTGCTTGGGCAATTTCAAATGCCACATCTGGTGGCACCCATGAACAGATAAAGTAGATCTTCTGATCTTATTTCTCACAATGGTTTTCCATTTCTTACTCAATTAAATTCTATGTGAAGGACTAATCCCATTTTTACCTGTCAGGTTCTTGGTGAGCCGGGGCTGCATTAAGCCATTATGTGATCTTCTAAATTGTCCTGACCCAAGGATTGTCAGTGTCTGCCTGGAAGGGCTTGAAAACATCCTGAAGGTTGGTGAAGCTGAGAAAAATCTAGGTAATACTGTAGACAACATTTACGCGCAGTTAATTGATGATGCTGAGGGTTTAGAGAAGATTGAAAACCTTCAGAGTCATGACAACAATGAAATCTATGAGAAGGCAGTGAAGATCCTTGAGACATATTGGGTGGAGGAAGATGTGGAAGATGAACCGTTACCACCTGCTGATGCTTCACAACAAACTGGATTCCACTTTGGAGGCAATGAACTTCCTGTTCCTTCTGGTGGATTCAACTTCAGTTGAAGCCTGAAGGTATACCTCATGCTTTTGGTTATGTTACCAAAACTATAATTGGGATTATTCATCATGGTTGAGCAGGCAGGGTTAATCAGTCTGTTGGGTGAACTTCCTCACTGTTTAGTATTTTCAATTTCACCTGGGGTCAGGTCGTGGGTAAGTTGGGATTTTATTTTCATGTTGTACAAGAAATTTCAGACTTTCATAGGTTTCAGTCAGTAATTAAAGGAGTTACGTCCAAGACAAAACGCCCATTTCGATCGGATTTAAGCTTTGCTTAATTTTTATATTAATATGCATTATATGCTTTCTTTTATTTTCTTTTTCCTGTTTCTATTTTGAGACAAGACAATATTGTGTTCTGGAATAATCAGAAACATGGAACATAGTGAATGTATTGATGGTGAGCATATTTTAGGGATATTGAATATACAGGCCATGGTTGATAAAACTCATAGGTGCTTTAGTGAAAACCCATAATCAGTTATCCTAGCATCATGATATGAGACTAAATTGATTTGCTTTCCGCTTCATTTTTGGGATAATTTGACATGCTGGACAATGTTAGCGGCTGGTCATTTGCACTCACTCAGCTCACATTTTAAAATTTGCAGGAACATTTGGGTAGCAGTGGAAGAGTCGAAATTTATTGTCCCAATTTATACAGTCAAAAAGATGCAGCAGTATGGTTGCTCGCTTGGAAGTTCTTCAATAAAAGCAAGGGGTGTATGGTACAGTGAACCCAATTCAATGGTGTAAAACAATTTGCAGATCTTGGAAGCGGAACATATACTTTTCTGCATTTCTTATTCTTTTCATTCATCGTCCTAGTTCCTAAAATGCTAGAGGTCAAGCACGCAGCTGAATACAATTCGTTCTTTTCCTTTATAGATCAAATCCCAA